AGAGAGAGAGAGAGAGAGAGAGAGAGAGAGAATCATCTCAATAGATGCAGAAAAGACCTTTGACAAAAATTCAACATGCATTCATGATAAAAGTCTTAGAGGAAATTGAACTGGATGGAATATACCTCACCATAATTAAGACTATATAACAAACATCATTCTAAATGAAGAAAATCTTGAAGCATTCCCATTAAAATCAGGAACCAGACAGACTGTCTGCTATCCTCATTTCTTTTCAATATAGTGCTTGCAACTTTAGTTAGAGCAGTAAGATGAGAGAAGAAAATTATAGGGGTACAAATTGGAAAAGAAGAGGCCAAATTATCCATATTTACAGATGATCTGATAGTATACATAAGGAATCCCAAAATTTCCACCACGAAATTTCTTGAAATGATCAACACTTTCAGCAATGTGGCAGGTTACAAAAATCAGTCAACAAGAATCACAGACTTTCTATGTACAAATAAGCAATCAGAAGAAAAGTTCAGAGAAATACTTCCATTCACAATAACCTAAAAATACTAAGTATAAACCTAACCAAAGACATTAAAGACCTATTCGATGGAAACTTTAAATCTTTGAAGAAAGAGATTGAGGAAGACACAAGGAGATGGAGTCAACTGCACAAAAATCAACTCCAAATGAATCAAAGATCCTCAATTTGAAACCTGAAACACTGAAACTGTCTGAAGATGACATAGGCAGTCCCTCCGAGATGGAGGTACAGGAAAGTACTTTCTAAGTTGGACATCTATCTGTTGCTCAGGAATTGAAGTCAACGATGAACAAATGGGATCTCATTAAACTAAAATGCTTTTGTAGAGCAAAGGAAACAACTGAGTTAAAAGGTAGCCTACAAAGTGGGAGAAAAATCTTCATCAGTTATTCATCCACAGAGGATTGATATCCAGAATATATAAAGAAATCAAAAAACTGAACTAGGAAGAAAACAAATGATGACAATTAAAAATTAGCTATGGATGGGGCTGGAGAGTCTGCTCAGCGGTTAAGAGCACTGACTGCTCTTGAAGAGGACCCAGGTTTGATTCCCAGCACCCACACAGCAGCTACGAAATGTCCTTAACTCCAGTTCCAGGGGAATCCGAAGCCCTCTTCTGACCTCTGCAGCATGACACAGGTGCACTCACTTACATGCAGGCAATACACTCATACACATAAAATAAAAATAATAAATAAATGAATATATATTTAAAAAATAAGCTATGGAGCAGAGAGCTCTCAAAATAAGAAATAACAATGGCTAAGAAACACCCTAAAAAATGTTCAACAGCCTTCATAATTAGAGAAATGCAAATCAAAACTGCTTTAAGATTTCATCTAACTCCAGTCAGAATGACTAAGATTAAGAGAATAAATGACACTAAATGCTGGTGAGGATGTGGGGAAAGGGAACCCTAATCTGCTGGTGGTGGGATGCAAACTGGTACATCCACTGTGGAAAACTGAACATATTTTAAGAGCCGAAATCATGATTCTGTTGAGCTACATAGTGTCAAGGACAACAAGCAAATAGATAGGCCACGGTGAAATTTAAAAATTACAGCATTATTCAAAAGTCAAATCTCTGCAACTTGAGATTTATATTAAATTTGTGCTACAATAGCAATTTGTCATGTGTTTTCACTTAAATGAAATTACAATGTTTCTCCCCCTATAACTGAGTCAAATAATTGTCATAGTAAATAAATGCGTATTTAATTCAAAATTGCTAAATTTATCCATATAAGTTTACTAATTTATCATATTTCTTAAATATTGGTTAATGTGCTAAACACACATATATGTATAGACTGATATGCATATTAAACATATTTATCTGTTGCATCATCTATACATGTGCATTATAAGTACATATGTAGATACATATGTGCAGATATAATCATTTTATTTTTCAAAGGTCTTTCTATTTACTCATATTTTTCCAAATTTAATCTCAGAATTATTCATCGTAGAAAAATATTGGAAACTTTCATAAAAATGAAAAATTATAACTTCCCTAATGATGTTACTTAAGAGTAACATGCTGTATATAATTATTTTTATTCTGATTTAATCTATTCCAAGTTCCTGAAATATGGGCTGCATGTCATAAACTAGAGACCAGAGTGACTTAATTGAATGATTTTATCAATCCTAGACATGCTCACTTTTGTGATAAGTTTGCTTGAAAACAATTCCTTCACAAAAGCATCTATATCTCAGGAGAATTTTGAGATTAAAACTTAATTTAAAACTTCATTAAGCAATGCCTTGAACTCTTTAGAGAAAAGGTCTAAATTAAATGCAAAGAAATCATCATGAACATCAAAGCAATGTATTTTATTTTTCACGTGAAAAATACAAATAGAAGCACAGGACAGTTTTATCAGACAAACAGTGATTTTCATGCACTCACACATCGTTTTTACCATGCCTCATTTTATGAAACTATGATATACACATATACAATCCTTTGAAATAGTTTTTTTGAAATATCATGTACGTGGTACATACATCCACATGCATGCATTTCATCAACCTACATCTAAAAATATGTATTTTGTATATTATTGTAAACAAATTTTCACATAAAAGTGTTCAAAACATTCTTGATTTCCAAACACCATTGCCAAGAAACAAATATATTATTTTCAAAATTCAAAGAATTAGTATTTCTTTATTTAAAATGAGAACTATTCAACTTTATATGCAATTGCAATATTTGTTTCCATGGCAATGACTTCATTCACTATGTGAGTAACCATAGATTCAGTTCTTGAGGGGTTGTGGAAGTGTATAATTAAAGACTTCCATTGTTCAGTTTAGGAAATTGACATCAGACTCTGGCCTGCTGTGTTTTACATGTTGTTGGCCCAGTACTTGGAGTGATGGTAGAAGGAAGCGATGAACCTTCTGACACCCATTGTAGCCCCCTTTCAGTTGTACCATACCATCTTCTACTGATCTGAACACATTCAAAGACACTATATATCCATTATATGAATAAATATCAACATTTTAATTGATTGGATCAAGGTACTTTACACATCAAACATATATTTTTATGAGTTTTGGGTATTACAAATAAAAATACTTTAATTCTTTTGTGCAGGACATCAACACAATACAAAGAGAGGGGAAGTCAATATTAAGCTATAATCTCTGGTCTTCCTGTCTTGAAACTGCTTTACCAGAAATTTTTATGAATTTTACTGAAGGTATGTATTGTTTAGGAATTTAAAATGTTTTAGATGATAAATATTTGAAGATATAAAAAAAACCTTTAACTCTTAATATCTAAGAATCTAATTACCTCATTTCAATTTCTTACCCACCACAAAAATAAAAAATAGAAAACATTTGCAAGACACGGATGAAATTACACACATGCAGACAATGCACTCATCCACATAAAATAAAAATAAATTTTAAAAAGACATGAAAAACATTATCACAAAAGCAATTCTCTTTTGTAACCTAATTTTTTCCACAAATGACATATTCTGTATGCTAGATTTGTTCTGTCCATTGAAGTACCAGATCTTCAAAACACACTTCAAATGAGCTAAGTTGAATCAACATGCAAAATCCTTCCTTCCCTTCAATGACTTTGCCTCATAAATAGAATGTAAAAATATATCAATATCATACTAGTAATGTGATCATGTATCTAGAATTTAAATAAATTCTTGAAATTAATACATCTGTTTCATTTACATTTTAGTATAGTGACAACAAAATTTAAAATTGCATATGTGACTTAGATTTGTCATTCACCTTGTGTTTCTCCTACTCATCACAGATCTAGATTGCTCCATGCTAACCTTCTTATGTGAATGCCTCCATCACATGCTAGCGCCCCTGTCTGAAAACCTCTTTGATTTCCAAGCATCCTAAAATAGCCCTGCATTGTTTTAACTGTCTCCCTGAAATTTTTTGAGCCTCTTCAGCAAGAAGTGATCCTGAGCTGGGTATGGTGGTGCACGCCTTTAATCCAGCACTCGGGAGGCAGAGGCAGGCAGATCTCTGTGAAATCAAGGCCAGTCTGATGTACATAGAAAGTTCCAGGTCAGTTGGGGCTACAAGGAGACTCTGTCTAAAAGGCATATGTGAACCCATCTGTCGCTATGAATTCCAGTCATATTTATCTTCTGACTTCTCTTCTAGTCACTGTTCAGACATGAGCCAATGCAGTTAAGGTCTATGAGGTTCTTTTGTTTGTCACCTAGGAGATAACCACCACAGAGCTTTAATAAAACATCAGTAAATTTTGCTAGACTACAAGTAAGTGAATAAACTTATGTATTCTCTGCTCACATTCTTTCAGGTGATGTTGTCATGAGAAATAAGATTTTCAGAAGGAGGTCTATGGCTGAATAACAAGGCACTTACCAGCTGGCTCTCAGATACAGTAGAGGATGATGAGGAAAGATTTGCCTGGAAATATAAACATGATATGATTTAGCAAAGCTGATACTTTACTAAAATAATGTATTTCAATTTAGTAATAAAATATTAATTTAATTTTATTAATTAAATTTTAAAAGTATAAAGGAATAAAGAAAATCATGAGAGCAAGAAATGGTTCTTTTAAGCAACTCAGCATATTGCCTTAAAGGACTTTTCCTGTGCATTTTAGCTCACATAATAAACAGCATGTAGAATGTTGTTTTTCCTTCCTTATCTTCATAAATACTACCACATGACACAAGAAATTCTTCAGTTACATAGTAGTATTCCCAGAACCCTTCCTTCTTGCCATGTAGGCACTCCAAAAGACTGTTCTGTCCAACCTCCCCCCCCACCAAAAAAAAAAAATCTATCATGTCTTCAAGGACTTGGAGGCAATCTGTGATCTCTACCCTATTCACTTCTGCCTAAGGACAGACAGTATGACTTCCTCTACGCAGATCTACATGGGATGGTGCTCACGATGTGACTCCAGCCCCTGCCAACCAAGGATTACCAACAGAAATGAGTGAACCTTTTGGACTTCCAAAGATCAGCAGTGAAAATCTTTAAAGTTCACATAGAATTTGTTCCTGGCCTCAGAAGTGCACAGATCTCTACATCTGACACTGCCCCTCATTCACACATTAATACAGTTTCCCCAAGACTGAACTCCAGGCACCAATCAGCTGGTCCACAATCTGAAAAATTGGCATAACAGAGGAAGACTGAGTTGCTCAAGCAACCCTTACTCCAAGTAGACAGTCCCAGGGCTCTTCCTCAACCCTTGACACCATGTGCCACCAGAATCATTTAGCTTCTGCAACCTTGATACTCCAAACAACAATCCCAACAAAAGTGAGACCAGATATTCGTACCAGGAAACACTCCAATGACACAACTCCAGATGCCTAGTTTGTATCACAAAATGCAAACAGTATGAATAACCAACACAGTACGTCTCATCCAAAAGTTAGTAACGATGAGAGGTGATGGACAAGATAGTGCTCAAAATAGCAATTATAAATTGTTCAAAGGACTCAAAGGGGACATACATAAATTCCAGGATGAAGTTCATGAAAACACAATTGAATGAAATAAAGAAAACAAAGATATGAAAATAAAATTTAATAAAGAGATCAAATTTCAAAACAAAAGCCAAGCTGAAATAAAACTTAATATCAAAAGCTCAATTAGTAAAATAAAAAAACTAAGTGGAAAGTGTTCTCAATAGAATGGATCCAGTGGGAGAGTGAGTATCAAGGCCTGAGCCAAGGCAGCAGAACTTCATCACCCAGTCAAATAAAATACTAAATCTAAAAACAAAAAATAAAAATAAAAACACCTAGTAACAGAACACGCAGGACGTCTGGGACACTATAAAAGATAAAAACCTACAAATCATAGGTATAGAAGGGAAAGAAACAAGAAACACAGCTCAAAAGCACAGAAAACATTTTCAACAAAATCATAGAAGAAAATTCCCAAATCCAAACGCAATGCCTGTCAAGGAGGAAGAAGCATACAAAAAGGAAGAAGCATACAGAACATCAAATAGACAGGACCAAAAAAAAAAGTAGTCCCCACACCACATAATAATCAAAACATTAAATGTACAAAACAAATAAAGGATATTGAAAACAAAAAAGAAAAGGAAAAAAGAAAAGACCAAATCACATATAAAGTCAGGCCCATCAGAATAACACCTGACATTTCAATGGAGATTTTGAAAGCCAGGAGGGTAGGGACTTATGTTCAAAGTTCTAAAAGACCACAAATCCCAGCCTGGACTATTATAGCCAGCAAGATATCAGTAGTACTTGAAAAAGAAAGAAAAATGTCCATGATAAAAACAGATTTAAAGAATTTATGGCCATTAAACCAGCTCTACAGAGAAAAGTAGAAAGAATACTGTGGCCTGAAGAGAGGTTACACACACATAAGAAAGCACAAGGAGTAAATAAAAAATTCAAGAAATCAAAAGTGGTCTAAGGAAAGAATACCACAACAACAAAATAAGAGAAATCAGTGAACATTATTCAATAATAACTCATGAAATTAATGGACTCAGTTTCTCAACAAAGGCACACAGACTAATATATTGGATCAGAAAACAAGATTCATCTTTTTCTTGCCTCCAAGAAACATATCTCATCATCAAAGATAGATACCATCTTAGGGTAAAGAGATTTAAAATGCTATTCAAGGCAAAGGAAATAAAGAAGAAAATTGAGCACGTTTTCGAATTTCTGACAAACTGATACTAGTCAGAAGAGATAAGGAAAGACTCTTCATACTTATTAAATGAAAAAAGCACCAAGAAGATATTACAATACTAAATACTCATTCACTAAACACAGGGGCACAAAACGTTATAAAAGAACACTATTTGGTCTAAAGCCACAAATTGATCCCAACACAGTGATAGCAGGTGACTAAAATACCCCACTCTCACCAACAGACAGGCTATACAAACAAAAAACAAACAGAGAAACCCTGGAATTAAATGACACCATTACTCAAATGGACCTAATAAAAGTCTACAGAGCATTCCACCCAAACAGGAAAGGATACACCCTCTTCTCATCAGTCCATGGAACTACCTCAAAAAACAATCACATATTAGGATATAAAGTAAGCCTCAACAAATTTAGGAAAACTGAAATAACATCCTCTATTCTATCTGACCACAAAGAAATTTAACTAGATAACAACTGCAATGGAAACTACAGAAAGTAAGCAAAATCATGGAAACTAAAGAACATGCAACTAACTGAAAATTTGGTCAAAATAAAAATCAAAAAGGAAATTTTTAAAATCCTATAACTGAATGAAAATGAAAACACAATGCACCAAAATCAACGGGACAAAATGGAGGCAATCATAAGGGGAAACATAATAGTACTCAATGCCTACATCAGAAATTTAGAGGCATCTCATATTAACAACAATGATACACTGGAAAGCCTGAGAAAAACAAGAACAAACAATATCAAAACTTGCAGATGGGAAGAGATAAACAAAATCAAGGATGAAACTAAATGAACTAGAAACAATAACAACAAAAGCAATACAAAGAATTAATGAAACAAAAGTTGGTTCTTTAAAAAAATTAACAAGATTAACAAATCTATAGATACATTAATTAAAAGAGAGAAGATTCAAATTCATAAAATCAGAAATGAAAAATTTCAACAGACAGGAAATTCAGAGAATCATAAGGACATACTTTGGAAAACCTAGAAGAAATGTATGAATTTCTAGATGTGTACAACCTACCAAAATTAAACCAATAGGAAATAAATAATTTAAACAGGCCCATAATAATCAATGAGACAGAAGCAATAGTTATAAGCTTTCTAACTAATAAAAGCCCAGCAAACAGATGGATTCAGTGCAGAATTTTACCAGACCAAAAAAGAACACAAATACTCCTCAAACTATTTTGTAAAATGGAATGGGAACATTTCCAAACACTTTTCACAAAGCCAATAGTACCTAATACCAAACCAAGACAAATATCCAACTAGAAAATTTTAGTCCACTCACTCTAATGAAAATAGATACAAAAGTTCTCAACAAAATACTTGCAAAGCAAAGGAAAGAGCACATCAGAAAGTTAATCCACCATGATCAAGTTGGCTTTATCCAGAGATTCAGGAATGGTTCAACAAATGTTAATCTGTAAATGAAATCCAACACATGAATACACTCAAGGACAGAAATCACATGATCAACTCATTAGATGCAGAAAGAACTTTGAAGAACTCCAACATGCCTTCATAATAAAAGTCATGGAGAAAGGAGAGCTACAGAAGACACAGCTCAACACAACAAAGGAAATATACAACAAGCCAACAGCCAAAGTCATGCTAAATGGAGAAAAACATGAAGCATCTCCACTAAAACCAGGAACAAGGTAAGGATGTCCACTCTCCACTCCTATTCAGTATAGTGCTTGAAGTCTACCTAGAGCAATAAGACAAGTGAAGGAGACAAAGGGTTTGGGAGACAGGCTTGAACCTAGGATGATATTGCAACTGTCAGGGTCATGTGGTTTCCAGGAATTCAGGCTCTGTAATCTGAAACCCAGCATGCTAATGAGGCATCCTACCCGCTATTCTGTGATAGGACGTTAAGTATGTTATGCTAATAGGATGCTAAGTCTGTTATGCTAATAGGATGCTAAGTCTGTTATGCTAATAAGGTATCCTACTTGCTGTGCTGTGATTGGGCCACCACCCCATATAAGCTTGTGCCTTCCTGCTATAAAGCAGACTTCTGTCAATGAACCTGGTCTCCTGTGTCTGAATGCAGCTACACTGACACAGTCTCCTCACCATCCCTGGGGTCTGGGACTGGACAGAAGCAGCGATGACAGGAGGCAGCACCAGGAGAGCTGAAGAGCGGCCTCAGCCCAGGGCAGGCAGAAGAGCGGCCCCAGCCCAGGGTGAGCAGAGGAGCAGCCTCTACGCCCATGAGAACGAAGGAGCAGCCACTGCTGGAGGTGACCGCAAAAGGGGATATAAATAGGAAAGGAAGAAGTAAAATTATCCTTATTTGCAGATGGTATTATTCTATACACAAAAGACCCTAAAGACCACCAGAAGCCCCTACAGCTGATAACACATTTAGCAATAATATACATGAATAAATTTAGCAAAGAAGTGAAGGACTCGTAAAATAAAAACTTTAAGACATTAAAGAAAGAAACGAAATAAAATAACAGAAAATTGAAAGACCTCTTTTGCTCATGGATCTGTAGGATTAATGTTCTAAAAATGGCCAACCTACCAAAGGCAACCTACAGATTAAATGCAATTTCCATCAAAATTTCAACTTATTTTTTCACAGAAACTAAAAAAAAAAATCTCAAGTTTCATATGGAAACACAAAAAATCAGGATACCTAAAACAATCCTGAACAACAAAATAGATGGATGTATCACCATCCTACAGTTATACTAGTGCTATACTATACTACAGTTA